GGGTGGGGGGTGGGGGGTGGGGGTGTCCTGTAGCCCAAAAAACCCCTCTGGATCCGCCACTGCTATATATAACAACATTCGGATCGACATACACTAGTGTATGTGATACATGATGTTTGTAATTGGATATCACGGCTGACGAAAAAACCGATATTAATATATATGAAATCTGCGTGGTAACCACAATGGTAATGTCGGCTCTTTCCGCCATTGAAATCTTTCGTTTTGATTGGTTAGTTTTTAACAATCCAGGTTATAAACGATATATATACAATGTATATAAGATATTTATTATGCAAATATTATAAATTATTATAGAGCAGGGTTTTATAAGCACAATACTAGACTACTTTGTTTTTGTTTCTTTTCCGAATGTATCCTTTAAAATGTATCTTTCAAAGAAAGCTTTCTTTCAAAAATAAATGTTTCCGGATAATTGATACCGTTGTTCGTTTAACAAATTAGATAATATACCAAATTCACGGTCAAACACATGCTTAACCATGAAACGGGAATGACAAGAAGGTTCTTGGTTCATTATTAGCTGTTATTTACCTGTTTACCTTATGAGGATGTGATCACAATGAGTGCCGTGGAATTAAAAGATCAAGGCAACAAATATTTTGCTTCTCGAAATTACGACAGTGCCGCATCATGTTACACAAAAGCCATTGTAAGTAAAAGAAACTGAAAGTAAATACTGACTGGCCACTCCATGGTCACATGTTAGTCGCCATACTCTTCAAAAGCTTCCTCGTTATAAAACGGAATGAACTATATATTGCTATCTAAGTCCGTGGTTATACGTACATGTTGTACCTTACCTATACAGAAATTGATAAAAGTTTGCACATATCATTCATTAAAATAGCTTGTAACCACATTAAGTCAACCTTAGCTTCAATTATATTACATGTACACTAGTCAAATAATAACAAAAACACTAGAACCCCAAGGTCCAGTACGTAGATATGGGACGGAGTTATGCACCAATAGTGATTATTGGATAATAGACCAAAAATTAATTGCAAACTCTTAAAATAGTCATTTCAATTAATATGAGTTTTCATGTTTCATAACATGATTATGAAAAATCCAGTTCAGCTCACAACCTTTTCTCCTGTTTTTATTATTCACTCAATGAGTGGGGTATATTATACAATTATGGACTTTTGTGCTGGTGAATATGATGTGATATGAACCTGAAAGAGTGATATTGACTGAGGCGAAGCCGAGGTCAATATCACTCTTTCATCTTCATATCACATCATATTTACCAGGACAAAAGCCCATAATTGTTTTATTATATGCTTCAACAATCAAATCAAACAAAACAAAACTAAAGGTTTTTATTTTTGTACGCGAGCCTCCGTGTAAAATTTATCCAGGTTTGAATACAACAGTTCATCATTGTAGCTTTCGAAGGGATCATCTAAGTTCTTTTTCTTAGGATAAGCATGGAGGACATGCACTGCGTGTTCAATGGCCTTTTTTTTACGTTAACAGCATCTTTATCCTCGAATAAGTTTGGTAATTTTCCTAACGGAGAAGAAACGTTCGCCAGCAGCCATCTTCTAATTGTCATCCGACAGATCGCGTTCCGATCTAACTGCGCATGCGCTGCGACAGGTTCCAGGGAATTTCCATATAAGCTATATATAGAAAACGATATTCACCGGATAACCAGTCTACATGAGTTTTTGAGGACTGGTCACATGTATAGGATTCGACCAATGTGATTGCAAGAAATGTTCATGCATATAATAAATATATATATTAACCACTTTTTCAGTGCATCTCTCCATGTGTGATTCCTTTGTACAGGATATATATATAAATATATCTCGAAGAAATTTGACTTTGAGAAAAACTTGGACGAATTCTGGAAAGATCTTGAGTTTAAATAATATCATACAGTGTCTTATATATAGGTTTATTTTATGTTTACCACAATGTATTTCAAATTATATAGATGTTGATATAGATCGAGGCAGCAATGCCTGCGACCACTGATGTCCTATTAAAGAACCCCTTAACACAATTTGACATTTAGTTCATATTTACACCATGGTATTGAAATATTGCTTTCTTCACCAAATTAAAATTTGGTGGTCACATCAGTTTAGGTTAAATGGTTTAAGCTAGTCACGGTCAACAATTGAAGTTGACCACTTTTGAAGATAAAAGCTTGTGTACAAGGTATATTCCTGTTCTCACAAATTAAACCCCTCAACAAATTCAGTATAAATATCTACCTCACACAGGTACATGTATAATAATAACACTGAGTTATACACCTGATTTTATTTTGGTGGTCATTCGTCAAGGTTAAAAGCGAAAGAACACCAGCGAAGTGTTCATCAGAAGTGAAAAACTTGTGTACAAAATATATCTCATGAAGCTCTGAACAAGGTTAATTTATATTTACACCATAGCTTGGTCCATGGTTGTATCAAATTTTACGCCTGACTAGGTTTTGATGGTCATGTTCAATGTAAATTAAAAGGTCATGGGCAAAGATTAAACTTGACCACATTTGAAGCAAAAAAACTTGTAACAGATAGCGTTTATATTCAGCTCATATATATATAGTAACAAAGAATTCTGCCAGTACTACTCCTGATTAGATTTTTGTTGTCATCAGTCAAGGTTAAAGGGTCAAAGGTCACAAGCAAAGCAGTGTGAGAGGGAAGGTGTGTGTGTCTCCACTCTCTTTGTTTATTTCTTTTCAAGAAAAACCCTTTCAGCCTCTTGACTGATGAAAAAAAAAGATAATAAGTTAAATTATTATGTAAAATAACCTTTTTTTTAAGAGATTGAAATGATCAGTTTAGTGGGTGGTATTATTCATATGAACACGATCAACATTCCAGATTATTACCATGATATAAGAGTGGTTTACCATATCGGGGTTGAGCCTTTCTGTGTTACCCTACTGGTTTATGCTGTTCAATGCTGCGACACTAAACAGAAAATATGCAACTGTTACTAATTTTTGAATGTGTTGTGTTTGATTTTTCAGATCAAAAGCCCGAACACACCCACATTTTATACAAACAGATCGTTATGTTATTTGAAACTCAAAAACTGGGAGGCAGCCATACAAGATTGCAAAAAGGCTCTGGATCACGACAGGGCGTCTGTAAAAGGACATTTCTTCATGGGTCAAGCACTGGTGGAGATCGGTCTCTATGATGAAGCAGCAACAAGTCTAAACAGAGGTACTGTGTACTAACAAAATCTGAAAATCATTAAAGTGTTGATATTAATTACAAATTGTGTCCATGTACCTTTTTGTGTCGCCTGCTAAGTGAGGCAACATATATAGGTATTACTTTTTCGGCGGTGTCGGTTGCGTTTCAAAAAAGGTTTTCCGTAATTTGAGTTCCCTTGGGTTGTTTGAACTCAAACTTGGTTCACATATTGTATACCAATATACCTCGAACATATTCACATTTTGGAAGTTTACGTGCATTTTGGTGGAGTTATGCCCCTTTTATTGCCAAATAAGGACATTGTGTAGTAAATGCAAGAACTTTTTTTATTTTTTTAATCAGTTCCTTTCAAATAGTGTACGGTAATGTAATCAGTTCCTTTCAAATTGTGTAGCAATAATGTTCAACAATGTTCAACATATATTACAGGTTTTTCTATCGAATTTCAACTTTCCGCGTTTTGGCATATATGTTTACGCGATAATTATAACTCAAGCCGAAACACTTCTTACTAAACTCGGTGAGCAGGCGACACATCCACTCTCGTGGAATTCTTGTTAAGGTAAAGAGTAACATTGAGTTAAAATATGTTACATGTAATTACAGAATGAAATAGTTGTTCCTTATTCTTTTGCCAGAAGATGTGATCCATATAAAATAACATCCTGCAACATATTTACAGAATTTACACCTGTTTGATTTTTTTTTTTTTTTAAATTGTCCATTTTTAGCACATGACCTTGCAAAAGAACAGAAATTGAACTTTGGAGATGAAATCACTGGTGCCTTACGGTTGGCAAAGAGGAAACGATGGAGTCTGATAGAAAATAAACGCATACAGGAAGAAATTGAACTTCAGACATATCTAAATCGTTTAGTAAAGGAAGAAAGTGAAAGGTACTGTCTCCTATTAATTAGAAATCATTTTAGAAATATTCAGCATATATGTAGCTGTTTTATTGTTTAATTCTTAAAGAGGGCGAGATAATGTTTGAAATTGTCTAAAAATATCCAACATTTTTGAACCCTAATATAAGTTGTGTCTTCTGCCCTGATGTACATAATAATGTTGAATATATCTATTCTGCCATTTCAAAATAGCAGTTAGTGTGCATATGCCGATTGTGGGTTTTTTATGGTCTGTTGCCCTATAATCACTGGTACCCTTGTTGACCAATGAAAAACATCGTCACATGGCCGATATGGTAGAAGTATACACAATACATGTATATGTTTTATGATTAATAATAACAAACTAGAATTGGATGTTCTAGTGAAAATTTAAAACACTTCAAGCACATTGTATAACTTACGATTAACATATTCCTAGCTGGTATTGGAGACAGTATTGATATCTATTTTAGGTATGAAGATAAATTAACTTGGTTCTGTTGCATTCATTAATTGCTTTCTTTACATTTCAGACAGAGGGATTCAATATTGCAGAGTACAGGGGATGAAAATAAGGATGAGAATTTGGCCAACATAGACGATGAGCAAGTAAGTCATGTTTGGTAAATTAAATCTGTTTATCCCCTACTGCAACCTGGGACAGAGGATATATGATAAGGCCCTCCATTTTGACCTTTGACCTTAGTTAAAATTGCATTGCATGAAGGATAAAAATATGTCACTATATATGTATTACTTCATAATTTTATAGGGATACTAAAGTTGTCATAAGGATGGGCCACTGACACAGTAGATAGTATCAACGGAGCAGATAACATATTATTTATTGTACAGATAACATGTTATTTATTGTAAAGATTACATATTATTTATTGTACAGATTACATATTATTTATTGTAAAGATTACATATTATTTATTGTACAGATTACATATTTATTGTACAGATAACATGTTATTTAATGTACAGATAACATATTATTTATTGTACAGATAACATGATATTATTGTACAGATTACATATTATTTATTGTAAAGATTACATATTATTTATTGTACAGATTACATATTATTTATTGTAAAGATTACATATTATTTATTGTACAGATTACATATTATTTATTGTACAGATTACATATTATTTATTTTACAGATAACATATTATTTATTGTACAGATAACATTATTAATTGTACAGATTACATATTATTTATTGTACAGATAACATAGTATTCATTGTACAGATTACATAATATTTATTGTACAGATTACATATTATTTATTGTACAGATGACATATTATTTATTGTACAGATAACATATTATTTATTGTACAGATTGCATACTATTTATTGTACAGATTACATATTATATATTGTACATGTTAAACAGGTTATTTTGCCTTTCTATTTTGCAGGAAAAGCGACTGAAAGATATTAACGATTTATTTGCACAGCTAGATGTACGTAGAAAGGTAAGCATGCCCAGCTAGTTACATGCTGAGAAAGATATCTATGTGAATGTGTTTGTATGAAGCTATGGCAGTGTCATATGTATATATGATACATTATGTAAATCAGAAAAACATTCAAAGTCCTTGTGATGGTTAAATATGAAAAACAAATGACAAGAGTTTCTTATTACCTCCCTAGCGCTTTCAACTCTTTAGAAAGTTCCCCTGATGAACCTCTATAGAGTTGAAAGCGCTAGGGAGGTACTAAGAAACTCTTGTCATTTATTTTTAGCTCACCTGGCCCGAAGGGCCAGGTGAGCTTATCCCATGGTGCAGCGTCCGTCGTCTGTCGTCCGGCGTCCGTCAACTTTTTCCTTTAAAATGCTACTTGTCCTGAATGGCTCAGAGGATTTTGACCAAATTTGGTCAGGAGCATCATTGGCCAAAGGGTTCTCAGTTTTGTATAAATGGAGGGTATAACCCCCCTGGGGGCAGAGGGGTGGGGCCAAATAGGGGGAAAATAGGTAAATCTTTAAAAATCTTCTTCTTCTCAACCAATAGAAGGATTTTGACCAAATTTGTCCTAGAGCATCTTTGGACAAAGGAGACTCAAGTTTGTATAAACGGAGGGTGTGGCCTCTTTGGGGGCAGAGGGGCGGGGCCAAATAGGGGAAGTAGAGGATTTTTTCTCTCCTACTATACAAGTGAAGGGATTTAAACCAAATGCAGTCTGAAGCTTGGTCAGGAGCATCATTGGCCAAAGGGTTCTCAGTTTTGTATAAACGGACGGTATAGCCCCCCCTCGGGGCAGAGGGGCGGGGCTAAATAAGGGGAAAAAAGGTAAATCTTTAAAAATGTTCTTCTTCTCAACCAATTGAAGGATTTTGACCAAATTTGTCCTAGAGCATCTTTGGACAAAGAAGACTCAAGTTTGTATAAACGGAGGGTGTGGCCCCTCTGGGGGCGGAGGGGCGGGGCCCAATAGGGGAAATAGAGGATTTTTTTTCTCCTGCTATACAAGTGAAGGGATTTTAACCAAATGCAGTCTGAAGCATGATTAGGGACAAAAGAATCAATTTTGTATAAACTGAGGTGTGTGGGCCTCCTTCTAAGGGCAGATGGGTGGGGCCCATTAGGGGAAATAGAGGAAAACATCAAATATCCTTCTCCTTTTGTACCGATGAAGGGATTTTGACCAAATTTGGTCTGGAGCATCATTGGCCAAAGGGTTCTCAGTTTTGTATGAACGGAGGGTATGGTCCCCCTGGGGGCAGAGGGACGGGGCCAAATAGGGGAAAATAGGTAAATCTTTAAAAATCTTCTCCTCAACCAATTGAAGGATTTTGACCAAATTTGTCCTAGAGCATCTTTGGACAAAGGAGACTCAAGTTTGTATAAACGGAGGGTGTGGGCCTTCTGGCGGCATAGGAGCGGGGCCCAATAGGGGAAATAGAGGATTTTTTTTCTCCTACTATACAAGTGAAGGGATTTAAACCAAATGCAGTCTGAAGCATGCTTAGGGAGAAAAGAATCAATTTTGTTTAAACTGAGGTGTGTGGATTCCCCTTCTTTGGGGCAGATTAGTGGGGCCCATTAGGGGAAATAGAGGAAAACATTAAAGATCCTTCTCCTTCTGTACCGTTGAAGGGATTTTAACCTAACCAAACTTGTTTTAGAGAATCTTTGGGCAAAGGGAATTGAATATTTATAAATGGAAGATGCAACTTTGTTACTTGTACTCCTTTGATAAACCTGAATGGTACTCAGCAGGTTTTAAATTGAAAAATAAAATACCAGGTGAGATATTAAGGCCCCTGGGCCTCTTGTTTAATAATGATGTCCTTACTTTGTAGTTCTTGGTCAAACATAGTATAATGAAAATATCCTAAGAATTAACACTGTGAAACCTTACATGTATAATTCAATGTCAATACAACTGTTACTTACAAAGTAGTTTTTAAGACACAGTTATTTGAGTTCTGGAATCATGCTCTTCCTGTGGCACTCACACTCATTTTGATCATGAGCACCCAATATCATAGCTGTCAACTATCCCTCGTTATGAGGGAGACAGCCTCATTTTGACCAAAATTTAACAATTTCCCTCACACCTCCCTCATTCAAGTCCAAACTCACACAAACTAAAAATCTACATCCTGTGGTCAAATGATCTCTTGTTTACTGCAGGGTGTGTGTAAGGATCATAACAGGTGTGTCTGAATCAACTAAATGCATCTTTGAGGTTTTTTTGATGCAGAGAAAGGTAGAGATTAATTGAGCAAAGCAGTTTCAGTCGTGTTTCACGCACTTTCTCCCTCAATAGAATTGTGGAATGAGGGAGATCTCCCTCATTGGAGGTTTCAGAGGCTGACACCTATGCAAGATATTGTCTCTTGGTACATGTACTTGAAATGGGACCTATCCACAACATTTCAAAAATGATATTCAGGAATTGTCAGAAAAAAATCCTACAAAAAAATCCTAAGTTAAATCTGAATAATGATTTAAGACAGTGTTTGTTAATTAACAGGTTATTATGTATTGTTTTCAGACCAGAGATGTACCCGATTACCTCTGTGGAAAAATAAGTTTTGAGCTGATGCGCAACCCTGTGATAACTCCTAGTGGCATTACCTACGACAAAAAGGACATTGTGGAACATTTACAGGTTGGCCTCTTCTTCTTTTCTTCTTCTTCAGTATTTCTATGTAAAACTGTGTTGTATACATGTACAGTATTTATTATTGGGAGGAGGGGTTGGTTATATACACAGTGTATGTGTAATAACATCACATAAATCGTTAATATGTAAAGTGTGACATCACCAATTACGCATGATGTCACACCGACCAATCTGTCACACAGTCATCGCAGTAGCAGAAGTGGTAATGTTTTCTGTCTACCTATTCAAATATGAATATAATTGTTCAATGTATTGATTATACTCATCATAATAATTTCAACATCATTCCCATTCCATCTGAATTGGTTGCAAAACTTAGGACCAATGGACAATGAAATAGCAGTCGTTTAATTTCTACCGAAGTGCAATAGATACAGGTGGGCCTCATACTGGGTGTGGTACTGGATTTATATTGAAAATTGGATTTTATGCTAAATTCTTGTTGCTCTTCATCATTTATTGTTATATAATTTGTATTTAATCAAAATGTCTGTTTTGGATGACATTCACAGAGAGTTGGCCATTTTGACCCGGTCACCCGAGCAGACTTGAAGCAGGAACAACTCATTCCAAACCTGGCCATGAAGGAGGTCTTGGACATCTACCTGGAGGAAAATCCTTGGGCTGAAGACTTCTAACAATTACCTTCTCACCTCTGATATATAACGTAATTAATCAAAAATAATAGGACTATGACGTCTGTTGATATGAGAGTTACTTTTTTTATTGTATTATGTATCTGACGACAATTTTCAAACAAGAAAAACAAGGTGTTGTTTTTCTTAAAAAACGAAAATTTTACGCATTGGAATCATGATAATGCATCCGTCTTCATCTCCAGCAAATTTTTTTGGATTACTGGGAAATTTATTTTTATGTGAAAAGTCCAATCCATTATATTTGTCCTGTAAGACACTGGTTGGATAATGGGACAACCAGATTATTGGTGGCTTGTTTAACAAAGCTTGACTGTAAACTGAAATGTAAGGCTGATGGATAATCTGAAAACAAGAAAAAAACACGTTATCTAATAATGTACATAATTAAAATGTTTAAATACTGTCACTTTATGCTGACAGACCTTTGGACCTCTATAGGGAAGTTTGACATTTTGTCTCTTGACCTGATCTAGAAGTCATTTGTCTAGGAGGGTTTGGCTTTGACAGAAACATCTGAAAAACAAGAAAAAATTGTTAATTAATATTTTACATAATTGAAATGATGAACAAGTGTTGCATCATGTTGCATTGTGCTAACTAACAGACCTGGGAACCTCTGTAGGGAAGCTTGACATTTTGTATCCAGAAGACATTATTGTCTCGGAGGCTGTGTCTTGGACAGAATTGCAGGGATTGAACATCAAACAATTTGGTTTCCTAACATTACAGCTGTTTCATCTTATTGATTTTCATTTTACTGGACTTTTAATTGATTTTTGTGGCAAATTTTGACTGCAGCCTTAACTCACCGTTATCAACGTCATACGATTAGTCTATGACATCTAAATAATTATTTTACTACTGCTTAGGTTTAGAGATCAAGTGTAAAATATTTATTTATCACTTACAGATGGAAAGCATTTTATTTATTTTTGTCCTGATTTTCTGTCGGGTTAGGTAGCTGAAGGCTATTCGGATTTGAAATTCTCCATGCTGTATCTGATTTAAATATACAGCAAATATTCTGTGAGAAAGAACTGAGAGGTTTTACTTCTATTTCTAAGATATTTTCGAAAATCAGTGGTCTGATATAATACATAGCAATTATAAACTGAAAACATTTGTATCTTGGCATTGTGCCAACATTTTGATAAACAGGAATATGCTTAAAATACGTTAATTTTGTGATTACTTATTATAATATTATATTACTAGCAATGCATTTCCTCGATACTTCTTCATATTTTATATTGCAAATTGTTTTTTGCTTTGTAATTTTAATTGTTTTATAAGCTGTCTGCTTGTCAGTAAGAATGACTTTACGAGTTTGGCTAATTGTCTAATGCACTTAGAAGGCCTTTTGTTAGACTAGCAGCATTTGTATGAAAGTAAATGACTGGTCTCGCATGAAGACCTAGGATGCTGGATCTCCCCAAATTGTGAGGATGTTTTTAAAACTGGGATTGAAAGTCCAAGGAATACGAAGCTTCGCAATTTATTTTGGAACATTTGTACCGTAATACTGGGATTCGAAGTTCAAGGAATTCGGAGCTCTCCAAACTTGAGGATGTTTTTAAAACCAGGATCTGTTAATTGTGATTGCAAAAGTGTGAAGAAGAGGGTGATGAGTTGATGGTTTTTGTTATATGGACAAATTTTTAAAACTGGTTACGAGATATGCAGGTGTGAATTGCCAGTTAGGGGTCGTATTATTCACTTAAGGTCAGCCGTTGTGATCGTACATATTGTGTTTTGTCAACTAATATCATGGTGAGGGGTGCATTTTTATATGCCATATAATGTTTACGTTTTTGTTGTTGTACAGCCTCTAAATAAATCTGCCTTCAATTTGTTTGGTGTGAAAGCACGTAACACGGAGAATTGATACACGTGATCGTTTTCTAATCGGAAACTGTTTGGGTCATAATCTGTCGTACTATAATAACTATCATGGTAATTGGGAATCAACATGTCGTGACATCAGATTTAAACTTCAGATTTAATTCTTTGTTGTTTTGAATGTAAATATAAAGAATGAAATGAATATTGTCGAGAATTGTTTTCATGGTATGAACCCCATTCCAATTTGCTTAATTGTAAACTCTCAAAGATGCACTATACATCATGTTGGATATTTTTGTAAGCAAATTGCTTTGATATCCATTAAAATGGTGAAGAATATAAATTTCAAATCTGGAATGTTTTTAAATCCAAGGATTATTCGTTTTAAATCTGTTTTATAAGTCTAGCACTTGAGTTTTGAACGTGAGTTTCTGCTTTTGACAGTGTTAGAGTACACATTTAGAGATATTTTAGAAATCAATAAGGGGTTTAAAACTTAAGTAGTGAAATGGAAAACAAATTGAAATTATTATAATTTTTTCTTTGGTCTGACAAATGTAAGATCCGACTTTTACAGCTCCATGGCTGGCTACCATTGTCAATAGTTTTAACAGTGGATAGAGAAAAGGGGAATTTTATGTATCACTATTTTAATTAAAACTTCAATAAAATGCCCCTTGTATATGATTAATTTGCCACCTTGCTTATGGCAAACAGATTTCTCCTTTTTTTTTAACAAGTTGCGTAAGTTTATACTTCTCCCTTTATAATGCCAAAATTTCTTTTGGATAAATGGTGGCATTATAACAAATTGTTACTGTAATGTCGGGTGGGTGCTATTAAATATGGTTCACCTGTTGTCAGTATAATATGACCGGGTGGAATGCTGTGCTGGGTGCCTTCGGCACAGGATTCCAGTGAGATAGCACTATAAAGTCGGCATCAGATCCGCGCTATCACAAGGAAGCAACCACACCTACATACCTCGTCTCCTGCAAACACACATGAAAGCACGCATGCACTTCACAGATGGAGGCACGTCCCTAAATGACCTTAGCTGTTAATAGGACGTTAAACAAAATTAAACAAAACCAATCAGTTAAAAAATTAATAAGGGAGACAACTCTCAACTCAAAATCAAATACAATACGTTTTTCTGTAAATATGTAGAAAAGATCTTATTCATCAACTCACAGAATGTCCTGTCCATTTGTGCTTCAAATAACTCTTGTCAAGAACAATATATTGATTGTATTTAAGAGACCACCAATAGCTGTTCACAGATATGACATCACAAAAATGTGTTAAAAAATACCAAATGTCCCACAATATGTTGTGGTATTACTGTTCAATTGTTGCAGGTTTCGTTTTAGTATGCAGAAATGTGGTGTATAGGTTTTTGTCATTAATTTTCACCCAGATGCTAATGTCGCTTAACTCCTAATGCATATGACTGGGACAGACCTACAGTTGCATCATTCTTTCTTCCTGATGCAACAGCATAAACAAAATTTGTGTCTGATTATAGAGGGCGATTTCAATGAAATTTGCTGTGATTGTTTATAAGGTAACAAACTTATTTGTAGCGAAAGTATAAAGAGAAACAATGCATTCTTTATCTCTCCTTTTTTGTCTTGGGTGGTCCCGTTCGTTTGAGAGTTTTTTATCTGTTGTATGAAAGTTGTGTGTAACAATTTTTGTAATATTAAATATTGACTGGTAAAATAAAATGCTAAATTAACTAAATTGAATTTTGTTCTCATTTTCAGCACGACAAAACATTCCATATTTTTTTGCGTAATCATCAAACAGATAGTTAATTCCTGAAAGGATCATTCTTAACCACATTTGGTCAAATTTGATTTGGATTGATCATTCTTTGCCAGCAAGGAGCAAATTTGGTCTATATTGCAGACCTGTTATTGATGCTATTTGCAAACACATATCTCACATATTATTACATCAACTGGCCCTTCGGGTCATGTGAGCTATGTCGTACTGGGGCGTCTGTCTCTGTTGTCCGTCCGTCAACTTTTTTTTTAAACGACTTCTTCTGAAGAACTGGATGACCTAAGGTCATGATATTTGACCAGTAGGTACCTCGGATGAAGTTTCCTCATTAAAATGATCTAATTCTACTTTCAAGGTCACTGGGGTCAAATTTGTTAAAACCTTCAAACAACAATATCCTTAGAACCATTTGGACTAGAGTCATGATACTTGGGTATGTTATGTAGACCAGCAGAGCGTACATTTTAATCATTTACAGTAAAAATGTCAAAGGTCAACTTTAAGATCAAGTTGGGTGTCAAAGGTCAACTTTGGTTAAAAGCTTTAACAATCTTCTTCTCAAGTTCCATAATGCCCAGGGTCATGATATTTGGCCAGTAGGTACCTGGGATGAAATTTGCTACAAAGTGTCCTCATTAAAATGACCTTGACCTACTTTCAAGGTCACTGGGGTTAAATATGTTGAAAACTTCAAACAACAATATCCTATGAACCATTTGAACTAGATTCATGATACTTTGGTATGTTATGTAGAACAGCAGTGCTAATGTTTTTCTCTATTACAGTAATGAGGTCAAAGGTCAACTTTAATGCTAGTCGGGGGTCAAATGTCAAGCTTTAACAATCTTCTTCTCAAGTTCAATAATGCCCAGGGTCATGAAATTTGGCCAGTAGGTACTTGGGATTGAGTGCTGTAAAGTTCCTCACTAAAATGACCTAGACCTACTTCCATGGTCACAGGGGTCAAATATGTCAAATATGTCAAAAACTTAAAACAACAATATCCTAAGAACCATTTGGACTAGAGTCATGATACTTCGGTATGTTATGTAGACCAGCAGAGAATATTTTTATCATTTACAGTAATAAGTTAAAAAAAGGTCAACTCTAAGTGCTAGTCAGGGGTCAAATGTCAACTGGGTTAAAAGCTTAAACAATCTTCTTCTCAAATTCCATTAGGCCCAGGGTCATGCTATTTGGCCAGTAGGTACCTGGGATGGAATGGTTTAAATTGTTCTCATTAAAATTATTTTGACCAACTTTCAAGGTCACTGGGGTCAAAATATTAAAACCTTCAAACAACAATATCCTAAGAACCATTTGGACTAGTCATGATACTTGGGTAGGTTATGTATACCAGTAGTGTGAAATTTTTTCTCAATTACAGTAATGAGGTCAAAGTTCAACTTTAAATGCTAGCCAGGGGTCAAATGTCAACATGGGTTAGAAGCTTTAGCAATCTTCTTCACAAGTTCCATAAGGCCCAGGGTCATGAAATTTGGCTAGTAGGTACTTGGGATGGAGTGCTGTAAAGTTCCTCACTAAAATGACCAAGACCTACTTCCATAAGGCCCAGGGTCATGCTATTTGGCCAGTAGGTACCTGGGATGGAATGCTTTAAATTGTTCTCATTAAAATTATTTTGACCAACTTTCAAGGTCACTGGGGTCAAAATATTAAAACCTTCAAACAACAATATCCTAAGAACCATTTGGACTAGAGTCATGATACTTCGGTATGTTATGTAGACCAGCAGAGAATATTTTTATCATTTACAGTAATAAGTTAAAAAAAGGTCAACTCTAAGTGCTAGTCAGGGGTCAAATGTCAACTGGGTTAAAAGCTTTAACAATCTTCTTCTCTACTTCCATAAGGCCCAGGGTCATGCTATTTGGCCAGTAGGTACCTGGGATGGAATGCTTTAAATTGTTCTCATTAAAATTATTTTGACCAACTTTCAAGGTCACTGGGGTCAAAATATTAAAACCCTCAAACAACAATATCCTAAGAACCATTTGGACTAGTCATGATACTTGGGTATGTTATGTAGACCAGTAGTGCGAATATTTTTCTCAATTACAGTAATGAGGTCAAAGTTCAACTTTAAATGCTAGCCAGGGGTTAGAAGCTTTAACAATCTTCTTCACAAGCTCCATAAGGCCCAGGGTCATGATATTTAGTCAGTAGGTACCTGGGTTGCAGTGCTATAAAATTTCCTCATTAAAATGATCTGAATCTACTTTCAAGGTCACTGGGGTCAAATATGTTGAAAACTTCAAACAACAATATCCTTCAGAACCATTTGGATTAAAGTCATAATACTTGGGTATGTAATGTCGACCAGCAGTACAAATCTTTTTCTCAAATACAGTAAAAATGTCAAAGGTCAACTTTAAAGTGTAGGTCGAGGGTCAAAGGTCAACATGGGTTGAAGACTGTAACAATCCTTTTTTCAAGTTCCATAAGGCCCAGGGTCATGATATTTGGCCAGTAGGTACCTGGGATGAAATTTGCTATAACGTTTCCTTATTAAAATGACCTTGACTTATTTTCGAGGTCACATGGGTCAAATATATTTGAAACTTCAAACAACAATATCCTAAAACCGTTTGGACTAGAGTTGATACTTGGGTATGTTATGTAGACCAGCTGTGTGAATTGTTTTTATTACAGTAATGAGGTCAAAGGTCAACTTTAAGTGCAAGTTGGGAGTCAAAGATCAATGTGGGTTTTAAAATTAAAATTTCAAATTACAAACAACAATATCTTCAGAAGCGTTTAAGAGATGTATTATATATAATTTTTAAGTCATGTCTCGTAAGTCAGTATGGCTGGGCATATTTTGCATGTGTATTTTTTTATTATGTAAGTGATGTGTTATGTAACATAGGTGTGACACTTAAATAAAATATTTAATTATTATTATTATGTAAAAATGTCTTGTGTTCTAGTAACCAGATTTGGTCTTAAGTTAACTAGATGTCAGTTTCATGTAACAAAAGAAATGCATCTACCTTCCAAGTATCATGTCTCCATGCCTCTGAGTTCTTAGAAGTCGTTTGAAATTATTGACAAAGTTGACCTCTGTGACTTTGAAAATAGGTCAAGGTCTTCTTTTTTTGTGTTGAAAACTTTGTTGCATGCTTTTTTGTTCTTCAGAACAAGTCATTTAAAGGAAAAGTGTATGACAGATGGCCAGACAGACTGATGAGTGACAGACACTGCACAATAGCATAAGCTCACCAGTCCTTTGGAAAAAATATACAGAAATAACAGGAGGTTTTTGACAGGATTAGCACTAAAGTTTAATCTGTACAATCTGTACACATATATACATACACAGCATCTAGGCATGAATATATACAATCACTCCTTTATGTCTCACAGATATGCTTAACAAATAATATCACAACAACATATAACAAACGCTAAATCTAGGACACGATTCATTATGGAAAAGATATGGTTTTGAGGGACAATGAGATGGAGAACAGCCAACACTGGAGTTAAAATGTCCGCAACGTTATAACACATGTCAAGTTGTAGTCGGAGTCGTGCGGACTGGTGATATGTACAGCTCTACTGATGGAGTCGTATTCAGACATAATCGGGATTATCACAATAAATCTTTTTTGAAACTTGCCACTTATTACCTTCAATGCATTGTAAGCCCAGGGCACTAGTTAAATGTGTAACAAACTTATTTCCATTTTTTACATGTATTTCCCGATATATCCCTCATTCAAGAAATTGGGTCAATAAGACAGGCTTAATTCCAAGCATGGGCATATCAATGGTAAAATGTGGTAATGGATGCTGAACAAGTAGATATATGTTGTAATGTACAAACATCTATTAAAATTCAAAATTGCAAAACAATTATCGATTATTTTCACTTTCAAATATCACAAAAAAAAAATGTTTCAAAATTTCAAAAAATACTATGGAAAAACATCAAATTTTAACCATAGGCATATTCATTGTATCTATGATTTGAAAATATTTGTTAGGATAATTGACCTTAACAATCATCAATGAATTTTGAAGCAATTTAATAACTGAGAACAGAAGGTTTTCTATGAACATAACAATCCATTCATGTAAGTGTAAAAGCAAACTAACGAAACTAGTAAGCAACAAAATAAGCATTAGTACTATATGGCACAGTTTTCACTGGAAATTTGTTTCAAATTCTGACATCAAAGTACAGCTACCAGAACTCTGGGTATAAAAATTCTCAAAAACATTGAAATAATAATTTTAAACAATCTAAGGATTTTGCGAAGATATCTGATAAGGAAAGCATTTGGATCAATGTGATTTATTATTGGGGCAATTCAAAATTAACTAATTTGATAGTTTTAAGATTGAAGGATTTTACTGTAGATTTATATTTTCATAATTGAAACTATGTAACTAAATAAGCTACAATGCAATAAAACATGACTCAAGCCCCGAGGATAAAGACGATAGAGGAACACAAACTGAACACTCTAGATTACCTATATTTCGTGCGACATGAATTTTCATTGTAAATTCACATTAATCTGATCATATAAGTCCTGTACAAATAACAAATAAATACAGTACAACCTCCATATAATGCCACTCATTCAACTAGCCACCTTGCCTACCACCAACATATTTCAAGGTCCTTTCTCTTTTTCAAAAGAATTCATTCGTATGGTTCCCTCAATGTATCGCCAAACCTGTATGGTGGCAGTGTAACAAGATTTTACTGTATTTACATATCATGTAACACGTTATGTGAAATGCAAACCAAAATACTTTCGTATAAGTCCAGAAAAGTCAGCTCATGACAATAAAACGTGTGCACAAATTATAAGTAACTAAGACAAAATTTATGTTGTACCGTATTTGACCTAAAGTGCACTAGGTGTTTTAACAGTTTGGGAAAATAACCTTCCTAAATTTAAATAGACATTGCGATACACTTTTCCAATTACGTTGGTAATTTATGATGAATGGACTGGGGCGCTTATACTGTGCTGTATACAGGGAAACTTTTCCCCAGTCAAACTTTCACCATTTACCCATAAAATCAATTTTTGTCCAGCGGTAGTTTTGCCCTTCCGATTCAAGCAATATGTATATTTATGCCGTTCAGCTATATTTTCTGTAATGATAAATTCGCCCTCGTTATTGAGCGGGGAAAAGGCGAAAATTAAACTGTGGCAAAAATGTCCAAAGTAAACAGTAAAGGATGGCACAAGTATTGCATCATCAAAACTGTTAACGTGTTGAAATGCAAACATCGCAGGATAATATCAATTACGAATTCCACGGAGTATGCAGGTCAAAACCAAGCCGCAAACTGTATGTTGGTACTTTTAATATTGGATCTATTTTGTTGATATATAAAATGTGTTCTTGAATACTAACATGTGAAACTCCTCACAGATGAACTAAGTTGATATGATGTACAATGTATTATGAAAACACAAATCTGGATTAAACTTCGTAAAGTCTTTACAAAAAAATATAATTCCTTCTAAAACATGTCTACTTATAATTATCTTATGCCATTAAATACATTATATCTTTTAATGTTGTTTATAATACATGTATTAAAATACAAATCCAAATTTAATATCTTTTTTAGTCACACTAGTTACACATTCGGAGTACATCTTTTTTTTCTTAAATTACTTATCAATCAAAACTATAGATTTAAAATATTACTACTGAACAGAAATCAAAACTATAGATTTAAAGATTACTACTGAACAGAAACTGGATTACAAAATCAGACTATTAATACTTATATATATATGCCATATGTGTATGAAAGTGACAGTCATACACACTCAAACCTCATTATTTCTCAAAACCATGTAAACTTTTTGTAAATCAGGAAACATGTAGGCAATCATATCTTTTCATGGGGAATTTATTTTCCTTGATTTTGTAGGTAATCCAAACTTGCACATGTTTCACAAAATTCGTTAACAATTTCTGAGTAAGAAATATGTTCACTTCCAAAATTTATTCTCCAACAACTTTTCCATCAATTCACAAATTCATGTCTTTAAGAACAATGAAGCCAAAATTTTAGCACAACAAATATATATGATTTCACAGTATATAAAAGTCATGCAAATGCGAGATCTTAAACATTAGCAAATATTGAGGTTATACATTTCAGCTCTCAAATACTTATAATGGAAGATAATAGAACCAAACACACAGAACACATGGTTTATAAACTCAACATAACATCAAAAGATACACCAAGATTGCAAATATAAAAAAAAATTGAGTTTAATATGCGATATATTTTTTAAGAACCCATTGACATCCTTAGCCATATGTGTGCACATACATTTACATACTGTATACTAAATGCATGTTATCTTATAAAGTGACAAACACATAATGGTGAAATAATGCCACAATGAAGCTTTGTAATATGAAAGAGGTCAGTTCAGAGTACAGGTATTACTATTAAGAAAATGCAAATACAGGTTTGAGCATGTGCAGGTAATAAACAAACCATGAAAATGATGTCTTAGTGAAATATTCTAAAATTTGGTACAGATCTTGACTAAAGATGACTGCTCATTTAATGAGGGGGGAAATAAGACAAAGCTATTATTTAATGATACAGATGAGCTAATATGATATTACACTTACGAAATAACTGGCAGTTTTTTCTTTCTATACAGGGATCTAGATTTTGAGAAAAAGCTTTGTGGCATATACTACTATGCATGTCAGTTAAGCAACAACAAAGGTTTTACTCAATGCACCATTTAATACAAATGTGAAAGACAGTAGCAACAACCGTCCCCACTAGATATGACGGTTGAACCCGCTGCAATGTAATACAGTAAATTTCTGAAATTTAATGTAAAAATCTGTATCATGGTTTCAAAAGGGTAAGTTGGATATTAAGTTGAAAGCATAGCAACATTTTTTCTTTCTTCACTTGTATTTAATTATAATTATACAAACTAAAGTCATATTAAGTTATTTTGCCTAATTGTTACTAGACTGACCGACACTTTCACTGACCGACAAACACTTGACCTGTCCTTGAAACCCCAATGAACATGAATAATAGAATGGTATTGTTTTGGTTGCAGCTCTAGGTAGTATGGTATTCTGAGTCGATATGATTCAGAAACAGATGAGTTAAAACAATAAACAATACATGTATTAACTCAAATGTACATCAATGGTACAACACGACAAGTGCTGATAGCTCTCCGACAGAAAACATGGGTAGGTAACTCTGATTAACAAGAACGTATATTAACTTGGTTATAAACCAAGAAACCAGTGTAACAAAATTCTACTGTACAGGTTGAAGTAAAATTCTATCATGATATGATCAGACTAAAACTAAATAATTGTTTCTTGCAAATTCTGATCTTTGTTACTGTCTATCTCAAATGTTATATACATGTACCAGCTGTATGGTATGGACATTTCAAATGCCCAAAATATCTTCAAAGTTTAACTGTAGTTTAGTTAACAGAATTTCTATAAATAGCTAAATGATCAAGTCATTTCAAATATTCAAAATATTGAGAATTTTTTTCTAGATGGTTTCAAGGTTTTAAGTATTTTTTAAGCCCAACATATCAAACCTCAACAACTTTTGAAAATCCTCAAATTTAAGTTGTATGCTATCTTTCCATATTATATAAAGTACGGACTACAGTCTCATTAAATGCATAAACTGTTAAACCTTGATATAATGCCCCTCATTCCTTTGCCACCTTCCTTATCGCCCACATATTTAAATGTTCCCCTTTTCCCTCTTCAACATTTCATTTATGTTTCCTTATTTATATTGCTGAACCTCTTTATAATGCCAAAGTTGCACATATGATCATAATTGTGGCAGTATAGCAAGGTTTAACCGATATTATCAGTTGGGTTTATGTCCAAAACTCCATATTCAAAATTTGACCTTGACTATTATTATTGTTGTTAAACATTACACCTTCTGAACAGTTATAGTCAAATTTGAATTGTTTTTCCAGTTTGGTTATTACCTCAAAACAAAACCAAGCGGGACGGACACACTGAAAACAATATCCTTCTCTCACAAAATTTGGAAACAAACCCTGGGATAGATGTCTAAATATAACCGGGTATCAAACAATCTACTGTTACTTTACGGTAACTCTTTCTCCAACTGCAGTAAGTAACGCCTAGTCGTTATAACAAAAACAACATGTCTCAAACTCTTCATAATAGTACATGATAGTTTCTTCTCCTGAATAATATTTTACAAAATCATCAACCCTGAAGTTTGTTGACACCGGGCAGGATTGATAACGTTTCACTGTACTGATATAACAAGTCAATGATGCAATCAGCTGCATGTATGCATGACAGATTTGAAAGTGTCAAAACCTTTCCATTACCTCTCTCTTTGAAGAAGAAAAAAATGGAAATAAAAAACTTTGAGAACAATCTATTACCGTAACTTGTACACTATGTAGGTATATCTCTAGTTTGCGTCAGATGTAAGGCCTTCTATACATCGGTTGTAGTGGATGACAAAAATTTGTTTCGAGACGTTTCTGTACATGGAAGATCTCAAACAAGGTTCTAATACAAACGATATTTATGAAATGCACATCAGAAATTTTCACCAAACTAAGATGGTAGTGAAGGAGTTTGATGTCCATTTAATCACATAGTGTATCTATTCTCAACAAAAACATGAACAATCCAACATTTTGTGAAAATTTGGACAGGAGAAATCAAATGAAAACATCACCACTTCCTGCTGTTTGCTATTCTATCAATTTAAGATAAAATTGTACTGTTCCTTACGACATGAGAGATATTGCAGGATATTAAAGATTAGATTTTATTTTTGTAAATTCATGTGATGCTGATACAATGTTTTACACTATGAAGCAGCCTGCGTATATGATATACCAAGGTTTGTTAAACAGGAGTGTGTACAGTAAAACCTGTCTACTCTGACAGAATGTGTGACACAACATATTGGTCAGAATAACCTGTCTAATCTGACACCACATGCAGTACAACATATTCAACCTGTGCAACACAACACATTTGTCAGATTAACCTGTCTAATCCGACACCCTGTGCAACACAACATACTGGTCAGATTAACCTGTCTTATCCGATACCTTGTAAGACAAAAGAATTAACTGATCAGATATATGTCAGATAATCAGATTCGACAGAAAGTCAGACTACACAGGTCTTGTCTGGAAGTTTTCATCAGAAATGGGATTAAATTGTTATGTTGGACTAAGCAGGATGTCAGAAAACTCAGGAGATGGATTAGACCGTTTTCACTGAAGACAATTTGAATTGATGAACCACTAACTACTAGATAATAATATCTGTAGATCTTTACTCCATTAACATTCTTATAATGCATATCCACTCTTTCACATTCAACTTTGTATCGAACATAAAACTTACGCCTATCAATTCAAGATTTCAAGACTAACAGATGTAATTGAACAAATTAAACGAACTGAATTTGAGCCAGGTAACATAAAAATCAGCATAATCAGGAATGGTGAGAATGCTGCAGCAGAGGAAGACTTATTTATTACCAAATAACATATACATTAGAATGATTATGTTCTCCGATTACAAGTACGCAATTTTTTACAGTAACAAGCTTACACCTTATTTTATCACAATGAACTGATTACCAAACAATTAGTACATTATTAGTAATTTGCAATAAAATTTCCAAGAATGATATAAAGAAAAAAAAAACATTTAGATTACTTTTTCCGTAATCCTTTAATTAACTACACGACAATAACAAGCTATGTGACAAAAAATAACAATCAACATTCAATTCCCAGCAGAAACATCCATAAAAACATACCTGGGCATCATGAAGAAAACGGGCAAATATGAGTCTGCAGCTTTAATAGCAGTTGTGAAGATATTTTAAGACATAAGCATTGGAGGATATGCTATACCTAACCTCACCCGAGTAAAGTAAATGTTGATCCATATACATACTTCAGACTTGTATCAAGTGATAATTCAAAACCAATTATCAAGCGATAAATATTTTACCTCTAAATCTGTACTCTCATTATTAAGATTTAAAAGTCATAAATAACTGTTTCATACAGCCGTATTAACTATATTTCTTTTTTTCATATTTGCTTTCCTTAGCGAGAACTGTGGAAAACCAAATTCTACATCAGATATATTTTGTATCTTTTGAATCATTCCAATTTCTCCTTATTTTCTGAATGGGTTTATTGCGAATCGATAAAAATGTGAAGGTTTTAATTTTTACCTCATGGACATACTTTTCAGCCTAAATTTCAAAAAGAAAAGTTTTCCAGACCCCTTTTTTCAACCATTTTGTATTTTCAAAATTGAAAAGAATTCTGTGACAATACCACCATACAAAGTATAAAGTTGTAGCTATAGAGAGTATTAAATGAAGCTCCTTCACAGTGCACTTTGTAAACTACGATCTTCGGTAAGTTTAGTCAGCACCAAATTGATGGCAAGAGAGGGAGAGAAAAGACCCACAAACGGTAAAATAATCAGCAGATACCTTTTCAATAGGAACAACCTGTACAGCTGTATCATGATTTACAAATTTAGAAATGTTGAACATAATAACATGAAAAAAATTAAATGTCACTCATTTGGTTGTATCTATAATTGTATCTATAATCGTGTAGTACCAAACATTAATAAGAGAATATTATGTTTTCCAATTAACTGCTTAATAACACATTCACCCCTGAAGACACATTTGAACTCTTCCAATTAAAAGGTTGAAATAGTTCATTATGAAATTTCAGGGGTGGAAAAAAAACCTTGATACAATAAGTTCCTATTTTTTTTGGAAAGGACATTATATCTTTTAATGTTGTTTATAATACATGTATTAAAATACAAATCCAAATTAAATATCTTTTTAAGTCGCAACTAGTTACACATTCGGAGTACATTTTTTTTTTTAAATTACTTATCAATCAAAACTATAGATTTGAAGATTACTACTGAACAGAAACCGGATGACAAAATCAGACTATTAATACTTCAGTTTCACAATGCGAATTACAATGCAACAAAAAATAAGAAGGTTTTTACTAAAATGGTTATATACCTGCTACCTATGTAATATTACACAACTGGACTATGGACACCCATGGTAACCACATACATACACACACACACACTCAAAAACAGTACAGGGACTAGAATGCTTCATAAAATACCTCCACATTTGGTAAGTACACCAATAACATGATTTACTCCCTTCCGGAAAATCAGATATCTTAAAAAAAAAAAAAAAAATATTAGAAAGAGAAACAAGAAACTTAATTCTAAATTCTATTCCCAAAAACTCCTTCCATGACAATTTCCACTGTATGGCAACCGATGGGGCACTCTCAGCATGTACGGACTCTGCCCCTTCACCCTCGATGACACTGTACGATGACTGAGCATCGGGACAGTTTTGGTAGGTAAGCGTTAGTAGGCGTGTGTACAGAACACTGAAAGTCCACGAGAGATAGCACCAACGAAACAGTCCTGGCAATGAAAGTCCAAAAACGCTGGACAGCTGGAGCTGTAGCTATGGCTGTAGCAGGCTAGATGGATGTGCACTGTTAATGTCCGTGGAGGGGCAGTCTCAGGTCTTCTCGTTTCTCTCAGGGAAACTACTGGGTCGAGCAAACTTGTCTGGGCTTGGCCTTGATTTCTGCTGTAATAAAGATCGCAAAAACACTTAATGAATAGAAATGTAACATTAAATCATTGCTCAAACAAAGCAGATGTATACATGTATATGTATATATGGGGCAAAGAAGTAATTCCAACAGTGTGGACAAGTTTAGGTTGTCAAATTTTCGGAGCGATCCGCTCCTTTTTCAAGGCACAGTGAAACAGAACAGTTACATGTACATATACATCATATTACAAGAAGATAGAATTGATTGTATATATATATATATATACTGCCTTTGACATTTCTATGGATACATTTAAATACTTTCTGTTCATCGACATAGATCATTAAATCATATTAGATCTTTCTGAAGACACCAATCATTGATTTTTTTGTTTGTTATCTTTACCCAACTATTAAATACTGTATCCTGGGAAATGTTTGGGTTTATCGCCCTCCGTAATAAGGGCAAATTTAGCATTACAGCGAACGTTTGTAAACAACAAAATACACATAGTAATTACATGTGAAGGGCAAATTTAATACTGGAGGGGAAAAATAGATTTTACAATCGAAGGCAGAAACTTTCCTGGTACAAAGTATTTCCTGACCTTCCAATAGACACAGACTGTTCAATATTTCTAGATCTTATTATGCACACTGCTTATCAATTATTTACAAACTGTTTAAATTTCTTCTTTATGTTAGAATTGTCACTGTAAAAATCAAATTGCTACTGGCATGTGAAAAGGTGTTCCTTCAGTCTCAAAACCTGTTTTTTTTCTAGGTTACACTTTTCGGTGTCTTTATTTTAACATCAGACATATGCGAGTCTCCCACTACTTACATGCATGCTCGTCATATGGCTGTGTACCGGAGGCGAGGAGCTCGGCATCTGAGAAGGAGGGTGGAAAGGAGAACTGCCAGTACTTCTTCTCATGGGACTAGGGGGACTGAACGCTGGATAGTTCAACCCTGGCAAACACAATATAGACAGGTTTAGTCAAATCATGTGGATGATACAAACTTAATTTTTCTTCTAAGATGTTGTAGCCACACAAAGCAGGGTTAATAACTGACTGCAGTGTTCAGACAGTACACTTTGCAATTCATGCGACTATTTTGGTACCATTGGGTATGGCAGTATTTTTGAATATATTTCTCAAAAATGAAGCTAAATAACATATGATTTGAAATAAACGTGTTCTATTTTGGAGCACAGCATAATTTGTTCAAATCAACGATATATTATTTGAAAACCTGTATAAACCAGACCTTCAACTAGTTTCAATTGTATACATTCCTGTGTACTTGACTTGTGATCTCTGAAACTCTGTTAATTTTGACAAGATACTTTATTACTGGTCCTCAATTTCTTTTCTATTCCTGTATGACATCAGTGTTATTGCCTGTATGGGAACTAATTTCCGAAAAACCTAGCACTTACGATAAACTCAATACTATGACTTAAGACAGTTGAATTGGACAGTACCAACATTCCATATTGAAACATACTGTCACTGTTAAATTCAAACCAAGATCAGTCTTTTCTTACCTGGTGACATAGGTCTGGAAGTGTTAGGAGAACCGTACGGGATAGGACTGGACACAGTCCGCGGCCTGGCTCCGTGACCCATATCTTGCTGTTTTGTCATCTCATTAAAATGTCTGACAAGTGTAGACACAATTACATTGACGGGTTACAAGAAAATCAAGTCAAGGGGTTATTATTTAGACGGTAATGAATCTGAGTCATTTGTATACAGTATTTGTGATTTCAAGTATCTGGATAAGTTAGGGCTATTACAAATTTTTTTTTTAAAGGGGTGGCAGGCATTTTTTTGTGATAATGACCACCCTTATTTCTTTTTTCATGCAACCCAATATACAAATTCATATTGATATCCAAAGGAAGACAACTTATGGTATGGCTTTTATTATATACCTAAAATTGTTTTTCATTTAACTCATTCACCCCTGAAGACACATTTGAACTCTTCCAATTCAAACGGTGGAATAGTTCATTATAAAATTTCAGGGGTGAATGAGTTTAAGCATCTGATAATTTTGTCGGAACTATATGTATGACTTTCCTGGATACATGTTGAACTTTCTTCCAGTAACTTGAATCAAACAACAGTGAAGACATTGATGACAGAGTAACAATGTTATTACATCAGAGCTTTAAATAGCATTAAAATATCTGGAACTCATTCGTACTTAATTTAGTCAACTGATCAAAGGGAGACAACCAATATTCTTGCCACTACTAGGAAAATAAAAAATAATGCATTGTCAATATGACATTCAACTTGCTATTGTATGGCCTGAATTGGCCATATCACAACACTAAGATTCACCAGGTACATAATAACTTTAAATATCCAGCTGATATTTTGTTGCATGTTTTTTTACCTTTCATCGTCCATTTCTAAGCTTGATTCACTCTCTGAAAGGTGGCGACAGAGACTTTCCCTTCGTTCCATTTCCATCTGTAGTTTTCTCTGAAGACGAAGATTTTCCTCCCGAATATGCTTTTCCTCCTGTGCGTACTGTGCCATTTTCTGTTCATCTGTAATGAGATTTAAAAACGTGTCAAGATAAAAATAACTGCTCTCCATGCATATATTTTGGAAATTAGATCCGACACTTATATATACAGGTAATGTCTCCCTATATCACCAAACTGAAGATCCCTGTAAAGAATAAGAATCTCCCTTCAAATGGTTGGGATGATAGAAACATGTATGTTGCTGAACATACACGTGTCTATAAAGAACAGTAGGGGAAGTTTATTCCATTTAGAAAGCATTGAATTGAATGGTAATTACATAAAAAAGTCTTTACTTAAAAAATTCTGTTCAAAATAAAAGCAAGTTTGTCATTCTGATTCTGGCAAAAAAATTTGATTCAAACTCATTGCATGTGATGGCGATGACAGGTAAGTCTAAGGGGAGATAATCTGTGGAAGTGATGACAGGTAGGTCTAAGGGGAGAAAATCTGTGGAAGTGATGACAGGTAGGTCTAAGGGGAGATAATCTGTGGAAGCGATGACAGATAGGTCTAAGGGGAGATAATCTGTGGAAGTGATTACAGGTAGGTCTAAGGGGAGATAATCTGTGGAAGTTCCTCCGACTTACGTTCCTGTTGTCCAGCTCGCAGCATGTCTTTCAGTTTAATCACCTCTCCCCTCAGGTTCTCTATGTGCTGGGCCAGGTTATTAGCGGTGTCCCCATTGTTCATCTCCCGCGGCGAGGGTGGGCCAGTCACTGGCTGGTCCAGCTTCTCCTGTAGCATCCTATAATATAACAGTCTCACCATTCTTCAATTCAATTCAAAAGTATTTTATTGACACTACATTTATAATACAATCATATAAGTTGTATATATTAAAAAAGATGTAAGTACAGTATTAACAAAAACCATCAGACAACAGGCTATGCCTATATCATTCTTCTTCTATTTCCGGTAGCTATATACAATGATTAAATATATAGAATGTTGTTTTCCTCTCACACACATGCACACCCACACTAGCTCATGTGTAATATGCATTGTCTAAAGGACAAAACTTGCCTGAATAATAATGATAATAATATATGAATATTAATTTGGAATTTATCTAGCATAAGTAACGAAACGTTTTGATGATTTAATATAAAAGTCAACATGTATAAAAATAGTATTATTTAATTGGTCAGATGCATTACTAATACCATATAATAAACAGTGCAGATTTAAATATCCTGATAGATTATAAATAGTGGTAATATGATGTCTAATATTTGAATACAGAGGACATATCACTATTCTTTTTCTGTCGATGTAAACCTCAAGACTCTCAGAGGTTTAGTAAAAAAAAAATTTAATTTTTCTCATATTTCTCAATCTACAGTGAGTCATATCAATAAATACTGAATGGTTAGTTTGATAGCTAACTGTTGGTTTAAATACATGAAAAATTATAGTTTCAAGATTTCTTGTGTGTATTTTTAACAAGAGGCCCATGGGCCTAAACGGTCACCTGAGTCTACAGTATTCATTTTTGTTGCTGAAATATGTACCAATTTGAGTAAAAAATAGTATAATGTTAACTTAACTTTGTCAGGACCATGAGCTGATCATTCCTAGACCAATTTTAAGTGAGATCGGCCTATTAGAACTTAGTAGCAAAATAGCGGCCATGGCAGCCAAATTGTATTTCTGATTGACCCGAAAAATAACAACACTTTGTCAGGACCATGATTCGATCATTCCTACAAAGTTTCAGTTCAATCGGCCAAGTAGATCTTTACTTTAAGTTTGAAATAGTTTACCAAAATGGCAGCTGTGGTGGCCATATTGGATTTCTGATCGACCTGAAAAATAACAACACTTTGTCAGGACCATGAGTCAATCATTCCTACAAAGTTTCAGTTCAATCGGCCTAGCAGAACTTGACTTTAAGTTTGAAATATGTTTTCAAAATGGTGGCCGTGGCGGCCATATTGGATTTATGATTGACCTGAAAAATAACAACACTTTGTCAGGACCATGAGTCGATCATTCCTACAAACTTTAAGTTCAATCGGTCCAGCAGAACTTGACTTTAAGTTTGAAATAGGTTTTCAAAATGGCGGCCGTGGTGGCCATATTGGATTTCTGATCGACCCAAAAAATAACAACACTTTGTCAGGACCATGAGGCGATCATTCCTACCAACTTTCAGTTCAATCGGTCCAGCAGAACTTGACTTTAAGTTTGAAATAGGTTTTCAAAATGGCGGCCGTGGCGGCCATATTGGATTTCTGATCGACCCGAAAAATAACAACACTTTGTCAGGACCATGAGGCGATCATTCCTACCAACTTTCAGTTCAATCGGTCCAGCAGAACTTGACTTTAAGTTTGAAATAGGTTTTCAAAATGGCGGCCGTGGCGGCCATATTGGATTTCTGATCGACCCGAAAAATAACAACACTTTGTCAGGACCATGAGGCGATCATTCCTACCAACTTTCAGTTCAATCGGCCCAGCAGAACTTGACTTTAAGTTTGAAATGTAAAATGTTAACGGACGACGGACGACGGACGACGGACGACGACGGACGAAAACGGATAGCAATAGGTCACTTGAGCTAAAGCTCAGGTGACCTAAAAACGTTATTAGGATCAACTTCCAGCAGTATTTCAACACGAATAACAACAGCTCAATTTAACTACCCGGCAATTCCACAAACCTAATGGTCAGCATCATTTGTTGAACATTTTTGAATTATATAGGGCTAAATAGATTCTAGCAAAAATACGAGTTACAATGCTCATAAAAGGCAAAATGTACAAGCCTGGTCTATTTACCTTTTCTCGGATTCTAACTTATCCATGCGTTTCCATAATCTATTAACTAACGACTCTTGTTCCTGTTCCAAGGCATTCTCCAGCTCCACCTTCTCCCGACGCAGCTGAAATATCACAAATTGAGGAATAAATGGACTAACAAAACTTACCAATATACAAAGGATACATAAGATGGAGCATCAACATCTAGATTCCGTGTTTTATTTATGGTTTACATATTTCGGCTAGATAGGCTAGCCGTAATCTGACAGAACCAATATACCAATAATGGCAATATACAGTATTTCTCTCAAACCTAGAATTGTAGGTCAAGGATTAAATGAATCCTTCATATATGTGTGGTGTGTGTGGAAGATATGGCAAGTCCAGTCCACCCTAGGGGCATCAATATTGGAGAAATACCTTAGGCCTTGCAAGGACAGAATTAATCTTGGACACACTAGTAATTTATATATATAATTAGCTCATATTCTTCTTTATAGATCCAGCTAAAAGTAACTAGGAAATTAATTAAAAAGTCAGCGCTGAAAATCTGTAAGTTACATCAAAATATTTGACTGGCGTAAAGGCAGCATTTTTAGAGCTCATTTCTGTTGGCTGTTAGAATGTGTATATTTATCAAAGGAAGATAGTATTCTACAAATGAACAAGAGGCCCAATGGGCCTGCATCGCTCACCTGGTATTAATCCCACACTTGTAATCTTAAAAGTGGACTATTATATAGCCACAGGCAGAATATCAGTGTTTGATTCATAAGAACCTATTAAAATATTTAAAGATATGATGCCTGTGACCTTGAATGTCGAACAAGGACATTAGGTTTAAAGTGGGTCAAGGTCATTCATTTTAACAAACTTGGTAGTCCTTCATCCGAGCTTGCTACAGGCCCAATATCAGTACCCTGGACCTTTTGGTTATAGAGAAGAAGTGGTTTGAAGATTTTACGACATTTGACCCCTGTGTCTTTGAAAGTGGGTCAAGGTCATTCATTTGAACAAACTTGGTAGCCCTTCATCCCAGCATGCTACAGGCTCAATATCAATACCCTGGATCTTTTGGTTATTGAGAAGAAGTTGTTTGAAGATTTTAAGACATTTGACCCCTGTGATCTTGAAAGTTGGCCAATCTCATTTATTTGAACAAACTTAGTAGTCCTTCAGTCCAGCATGCTACAGGCCCAAGATGAGTACCCGGGACCTGTGGGTTATTGAGAAGTCATTTAAAGATTTTAAGACATTAGCCCTCTGTGTCCTAGAAAATTGGTCAAGATCATTCATTTGAACAAACGTGTTATCCCTTCCTCCCAGCATACTACAGGCCCAATATCAGTCCCCTGGACCTTTTGGTTATTGATAAGATGTTTAAAGATTTTAAGACATTAGCCCTCTGTGTCCTAGAAAATTGGTCAAGATCATTCATTTGAACAACCTTGGTAGCCCTGCATATCCCAGCATGCTACAGGCCCAATATCAATACCCTGGATCTTTTGGTTATTGAGAAGAAGTGGATTGAAGACTTTACGACATTTGACCCCTGAGACCTTGAAAGTGGGTCAAGGCCATTCATTTGAACAACCTTGGTAGCCCTTCATTTCAGCATGCTACAGGCACAATATCAGTACCCTGGGCCATTTTGTTATTGAGAAGAAGCTGTTTGAAGATTTTAACATATTTGACCCCTGTGTTCTTGAAAGTTGGCCAATGTCATTTATTCGAACAAACTTAGTAGTCCTTCATTTCAGCATGCTACAGGCCCAATATCAATACCCTGGATCTTTTGGTTATTGAGAACAAGTTGTTTGAAGATTTTAGCATATTTGACCCCTGTGACTTTGAAAGTGGGTCAAGGTGATTTATTTGAACAAACTGAGCAGGCCTTGATTCCAGCATGCTACTGGTCAAATACCATCATCCTAGGCCTTTTGGTTACTGAGAAGAAGTTGTTTAAATGTTTATTTTAACATATTTGACCACTGTGATCTTGAAAGTTGGCCAATCTCATTTATTTGAACAAACTTAGTAGTCCTTCAGTCCAGCATGCTACAGGCACAATATCAGTACCCTGGAACTTTTGGTTATAGAGAAGAAGTGGGTTGAAGATTTTACGACATTTGGCCCCTGTGTCTTTGAAAGTGGGTCAAGGTCATTTATTTGAACAAACTTGGTAGTCCTTCATCCGAGCTTGCTACAGGCCCAATATCAGTGCCCTGGACCTTTTGGTTATTGAGAAGTCATTTAAAGATTTTAAGACATTTGACGCCTGCGACCTTGAAAGTGGGTCAAGGTGATTTATTTGAACAAACTTAGTAGTCCTCCATTCCAGCATGCTACTGGTCAAATACCATCATCCTAGGCCTTTTGGTTACTGAGAAGAAGTTGTTTAAATGTTTATTTTAACATATTTGACCACTGTGACCTTGAAAATTGGTCAAGGTCATTCATTTTAACAAACTTGGTAGTCCTTCATCCGAGCTTGCTACAGGCCCAATATCAATACCCTGGGCCTTTTGGATATTGAGAAGAAGTTTTTTGAAGATTTTAACATATTTGACCCCTGTGATCTTGAAAGTTGGCCAATGTCATTTATTTGAACAAACTTAGTAGTCCTTCATTCCAGCATGCTACAGGCCCAATATCAGTACCCTGGGCCTTTTGGTTATTGAGAAGAAGTTATTTGAAGATTTTAAGACATTTGACCCCTGTGACCTTGAAAATTGGTCAAGGTCATTCATTTGAACAAACTTGGTAGCCCTTCCTCCCAGCATACTACAGGCCCAAAATCAGTACTCTGGGCCATTTTGTTATTGAGAAGAAGTTGTTTGAAGATTTTATCATATTTGACCCATGTGACCTTGAAAGTGGGTCAAGGTGATTTATTTGAACAAACTTGGTAGTCCTTCATCCCAGCATGCTACAGGCCCAATATCAGTACCCTGGGCCTTTTGGTTATTGAGAAGATGTTTGAAGATTTTAAGACATTTGACCCCTGTGACCTTGAAAATTGGTCAAGGTCATTCATTTGAACAAACTTGGTAGCCCTTCCTCCCAGTATACTACAGGCCCAATATCAGTACCCTGGGCCATTTTGTTATTGAGAAAAAGTTGTTTGAAGATTTTAGCATATTTGACCCCTGTGACCTTGAAAGTGGGTCAAGGTCATTTATTTGAACAAACTTAGTAGCCCTTGATTCCAGCATGCTACTGGCCAAATACCATCATCCTAGGCCTTTTGGTTACTGAGAAGAAGTTGTTTAAAGTAAAAAGTTGACGCCAGACCATGGCATAAGCTCACTTGCCCTTCAGGCAGGTGAGCAAAAAATTGACACATAAGACTAGGTAAAAGAAATCAGTTCAGTATATGTGCATAGCTACTCATTACTGGTGATCCCCCAAAAATTGCATTACTGTTCATTTAGATAAGGAGACAACTAGATATATGACCTAATTTCAGTTGGTGATGCCACAACAGTGAACAGTGTCAAAACATTAAAACCATGAAATTATATACATATATGACATGTGGTTATAGAACAGTATAAGTATTGGTTAAGTGATAAATGAAACCTTTTAACTTTGTATCATATCAGGTTTTGTATGAAGTTTGCAACATGAACTCATTTCTATTATATGAGAACTTGTTGCTTCATTTCACAAACTTTGATGAAATGGTAACTATTGTATACATAGGATCTATATAGCAGTTTTCATCTTGTTATGAGATGTATGAAAAGAGTCTTATAAATTTTCATTAGCTCTACAGTTGATGAGTTTCATTTATATTGCTTGAAATGGTAACAAATTTTATATCCTTTTCCAACAAAACCAAGCATGTATGTGTTCAGGAAATGTTTTTTTTCCTGACCATCACCAATTCTTCAAAGTTGCGAACTTGACATTGTGCACTCTAAACAAGAGGCCCAATGGGCCTCCTTGTTAAAATCTCACACTTGTAACCTTAAAAGTGATCTAAAATAAAGCTACAGTCAAAATATCAGTATTTATGATTAAAGTCATTCAAAAGAACCTGTTAAAAGATTTAAAACATTTCACCCTTGTTACTTTGAAAGTCGAACAAAGTCATTATGTTGAACAAATTGTATAGCCTTTCATCTCAGTATGCAACTTGCAAAGTATCAACATCGTGGGACCCATGGTTATTCAGAAGAGGTCGTTTAAAGATTTTAAACAAATTTGACCCCTGTGACCTTGAATATAAGTCAAAGTCATTCACTTTAACAAAAATAGAAGTCTTTGATCTGACTAAATATTAACATCCTGAGCCTTTTGGTTATTCAGAACAAGTTGTTTAAATATTTTGAACATATTTGTTTCTTGTGACCTTGAATATGATTCAAGGTCATACATTTAAACAAACTTTGTAGCCCTTCATCTCAGCATGCTACTGGCCAAATATCATCACCCTGGGCATTTTGGTTTTTCAGAAGAAGTTGTTTAAAGTTTTTAACATATTTGACCCCTGAGACCTTGAATATGGGTGAAGGTCATTCATTTGAACAAACTTTGTAGCCCTTCATCTCAGCATGCTACTGGCCAAATATAATCACCCTGGGCATTTTGGTTATTCAGAAGAAGTTGTTTAAAGTTTTTAACATATTTGACCCCTGTGACCTTGAATATGGGTGAAGGTCATTCATTTGAACAAACTTGGTAGCCCTTCAACCAAGCATGCTACTGGCCAAATATCATCTCCCTGGGAAGTTTGGTTATCGAGAAGAAGATGTTTAAAGTTTTTAACATATTTGACCCCTGTGACCTTGAAAATGGGTGAAGGTCATTAATTTTAACAAACTTTGTAGCCCTTCATCACAGTTTGCTTCTGGCCAAATATTGACACCCTAGGCCTTTCGGTTATTAAGAAGAAGTCTTTTAAAGTAAAATATTGACGCCGGACGACTGACGGACGGACGGACGGACGACGGACGCCGCGCCACGGCATAAGCTCACTTGGCACTTCGTGCCAGGTGAGCTAAAAAGGACATCAATGTCATGAGTCGTGTTTATTGTCTTAGTTCTGACATCACTATGATTGACATTACATTCAGTAATATGGGAAAATATCATATGGATGTTATAAGGATGTATAACTGTGGCAATAGCCATGTGATGATTCTCTCCACAAACTCACCTGTTCTAAAGTGGATTGTTTTGAGAGAGTTTCCCTTTCTAACTTTTCTATTTTCCTCATTAACTTGTTAACTTGGTACTCCTGTTCCTTCTCCAGTGTATGTTCAAGCTCAACCTTCTCTTGTCTCAACTAGAAAACAAAACAACAATGATGTTCTGTTATTTATATGCAAAATATGGGCAGAGTATTAAAACTATACATCAAACCAACGGTATTAAAGTGGGACAGCTTGTAAATATTACAGGGTCCCATCCCTTTGGCCCCACAGACATCATACTCTGTGTTTACAGAAATTCAAGTTTACTTACCTTCATCCATACTGAAGGAGAAGGCTTTTAAAATATTGATCTTTATTTCAACTATTACTAGCCCTCTGTCATTATGGCACTGTCATCTTTTGTTTCAACAATGTTAGTCCACTTTGCTAAGGGATGTTGCATACCAATTTTGTCAAAATCTGTTCTACCATTCAGAACTAGTAGTGTTTAAATGAAAAGTCGAGAATCGGCAAAAAATGGATGCTAAACAAAGTCATAAACTCACTTGCCCTTAAGGAAGGTCATTGCACAACAGGCCATTTCTAAACGTTAATAACAAACTAAGAATCCATGTACCACTCTCTAGACTGCCAGAAAATGAATTGGAAACCTCATGACATGAAACTTTTATGAAAAAAATATTATTTGAAAAATAACTCTGAAAGTCTCTAGATTTTTGCCTGCAGTGACACAGGAATCCTCATCTTATAAAAGGTTATTGAAGGAATTCCATGTGTAAGAAAGTCTGAGCTGAACTGAGAATTTTTTTATTCAATTGTCTAAGTTTGATCGATGTTATGAATATGAAGAAAAACAGGAAAATGCCAAGTCAATCAACTTCAATTTAGGCATTTTTTAAAAAAAAAGGTTTTAATTTGTTTATAATTTTTAGTGTTATTGTGTACAAACTCTTTTGAAAAAAAACCCCATCTGTAATGAAAAAGATCTGAATATTTAGGCTGGTAAGGGGGTTGGAATATCTTTATATGATCCTTAAACATCACCATTAAGATAATTAACTCTTATATACATATTATCCACTCGACAAAGTATATACATTATCATGTACACCAGTGAATGCCTAATCAATATGTCCCTGATGACATATACATGGTATTTACAAAAAACAGAAACCCGCTATTTCTTGATTCACTTGACCCTGTCCCTGAGTGACGTAGTACCTGCATCAATTTTCTTGACAAGTCATTTGTCAGGAATTCTTCCTCCTGTTCGTAATTCATAGCTAGCGCTTCTTTTTCTTTCTTCAGAGCTTGGATTTTCTTTAATAGGGTGTTACTGATAAATTCTTCCTCTTGTTCCGCCCTAGCTTGCTGAAATTTTAAAAACAAACAAAGCATGTATGTATTTTTTTTGTTTATTTAAATGATATTGTTCCTGTTGTTGAAACTGAGTATCATTTAGCATGATTTTTATGCAGCATTGTAAAAAACAAAATTGATTTGATGAAACTTTACATATCAATATGGTGTGATATTTCGATGCGTCACACGTTCCCATCCTAAGAAACCATAAATACGAATGACTCATGTTTTTTTTCAAATCACACATGTTTCGAGCATGGCTGTTTTAGACATATTCAAATTTAAATGTCAATGACAACAAATATCAGCTTGATATAATCAACAAATATAGGTATTTAGACATAAAAATCAGCATTAAAATACGTATTTTACACACTTTTACATGATAAACGTATTTGTCGGCATAAAATAGATGACGAAAATTTACGAACAATGTTGACACTGGCTTTCTGGAGTTCCTTTTTCTCTTCTTGCAACGTTTTACACTTTAATTTATACGTCTCCAGTTCAATTTTTAGGACTCTGTTTTCCTGTTGAATTGACTCGAGTCGCTTTTGCAACTGTTCTAGCTGAGCTGGAGACGGAGGCTTCATCGTAGGCCCCCCATCAATGGAGCTGGTATCGCTCTCCAACTCGCTCGCACTGTCCGCCATTGTCGATTGTTGTGTTTGGCTCGCAATCAACAATGTGCATTGCCGCAGTTGCGAATCCAAGGGTATGCGATATTTTTTACAATTCCATCAATAACAATTCCAAATATACCTTACGTAATTTCTTTAAGGTATTAAGCATTTTTCATCGTAAAACAAATCAACAATTCGAAAATAAAATATTAGCTTTGAGGCTCGCAGTAGGAAATTAGTTTTATAACAGAAATGTCTACTCAATAATACATGAGACAAGCATCAATACAGTTGCATATTCGTTTCATTTAAATATTAGTTATTTAAAATGATATAGCTAATTGGTTCTCCATTTCAAATATTTACTATGCTATAAAAATTACCCCTCGTGGTACCTCAGACTTGAAGTTCAAATTAGGTCATAAGGTCAACAGGTCAACGTACACTTGTGATCGAACCACGCTGCTGCGGCTGTACCGTTTCTGGGACCATGGGTTTCCTTGAGGTTATATTGATACGATATTACTGATGATATATTCCTTGCATGCACACACAATCATATCTATTGCACTGATGTTGTAATCCAACAGAAAGCAAAGATGACTTTATTGCAATGCACTATCCACGCAGTAACGTAACATTTGACATCACTGTCATGTCACAAAATGTCAATGAGGATACGGGCCGAAGTGCTGCACATAATATTAATATTTTGTGTATTGGATTTGATTCGTAAGATATTATAGAGCGATAGTTTTATGCTATTTCTTTAGTGGATTGCACGTGTAATATGACATGGCTATTTCTTAAAGTACGTTCCTATATGGTGTCATTTATTTCTTATATAAGCTAAGCACCAGAATATTAAAAAAACAGAATTTGCACTTGACTTGGTGTGAACCAGATGTTATGGTTTTTTTTGGTAAAAACATTCTACGTTAAACAACTTAATTACCTCTGCAAAGCTATTTCTGTGTTTCATTTATAGTCATTAACTTGAAGGTAATTTACATACTACCTGTGCAATTACTATGTATACACATCAGAGCACAGGTAAAACCTGGAACCCCTGGCATTTCAAGTGAAATCACAATGTTTGCACTGATAGAGTTCTAATGGCCGTTTGGTAGAGATAACCTAATGAGGTTGGATGTTGAGGTAAAAGCATTATAATATACAGTTTAGTCACTCTGTTTTAATTAATAAGAATAACAACAAGAAAAGCACAACAATAATGTTCATGGGGACTTTTTTTACAAAGCATACGTGGGCGGATTGGTTGAGTGGTTAACCCTCCGGCCTTCCACGCAGGCGGCCAGGGTTCGATCCCCAAGTCGTTATATACATATACGATATTCAGATAAAAGTGTTTTTTCTCCTGCCCATACAACTCCAACAACCTAGGTGGAGTATAAATTGGTCCCACTACAAACAGAACACATTACATCTCCATGGCCAGCACACACAGGCATACACACATAGGGAGATATTAGCCAGGTGGCATATACCGCATAGGATTGAGTTAGCGCTTTAGAGTGGCTTATGTTATGTAGATAGGGCGTAATATCAAATGTTGTGTATTATTTATTATTACTTGAAGGGATGACTTATTTAAATAGTATGCCACATAAATCATACTTTCACAAAATGAAAAATAAGTATAACTGCATAAATATTCCCTTCTTTATATCAAACAGATTGATTTAAAAATGATATATTTGTACACTTTTAGTTCTGATGCTAATACGTTTAATAATGACTTTCTTTTTAACAAATTTTGAATTATGTTTTACTCAGGACATCGACTGGTGGGTGAAATTCCGTAGTCCAGCAGACATTTACAAACACCATCCCAGCTTCCTCAAGTTAGAGTTCATGGTCTATTTCTGTGCCCTGCTTACTTTGATCCATGGTAAGTTTTCACCTGATTTCTAATTTTAGGACAAAGAAAACATCTTTTTGAGAAATATATGGATGGTTTCTTGCTTTGAGTTCTAAATAAGGTATCACCTCATCCTGTTTGAGTGAGGAGACACTTAGATTCATGTAGATATATATAGTTTCACTTAGAGAAGATTTTTTTCAATCTTTCTCCATGAATGTATTGCATTCTTTCTGCACTAGAGAAGCTGAATAAAATGGGTTATGTGTACAATTTGAAAATTGGTTAAATATTACGTGGAGGATTTTAATTGTGTATAGGATTACAGTCACCTTCTAGATTCGCACTAGTAGAAGGAATTTCCCTTTAGCTCAGTGGTAGAGCGTCAGACTAGGAAGTCTGGGATCGTTGGTTCGATCCCCGGTGGAAGCACACTACTGTCTTTCCTGTTACAATGATTATACTATAATCCTGCATTACCTGTATATATCGCTAGTCTTGCCACTATGTACTATGTTACAATCTGCAATCTACATCAGGGATCAATCTAGGTGAAGACTGATATGAAGAAAATGTATATATGCAGTATTATGCATTTTAACTGTTGAACTTTAGTGAAAACATAAAAGGGAAATATTTTGAAGAAAAAAAAGCTATTTTCTTGTTGAAATGGGGGAATTTTGAAGCACATGGGCGGAATTTCAAAGAACAGGGGAGTTTTCTTCTGTAAGGGAAACTACCCATAAACAGTAGTGAATCAAGTCTAGATTGATCCCAGTACATACATACATGTTGTCAGAGTGCTCAAACAATTTGTGAGCTTGAAATTTTAATTGATGAACATTTTAAAGAAACAATCTAAGATATGTGAAACATAATAAGACTTTTTTTACGTACATAATGCCGTTATTGACATTCCTGTAAAGTGTTTGTTGAATTTTGTTGATATGAACCTAGAGGCTTAAAGCCTTCGTCCATTAATATTTAATTAAATGTTGTGTCCCATGAGGGGTCTGATTGGACAGGTTTAATATATTGTCAGAATGCCAAGACGAAATTTCCTCTAAACACAAGTGGAGAGTAAACTATGTGTTCGTACTATTCTGATATTGACATCCTAGTGTATTGACCATTTGTTATTTGTTTTCAGCCTTGAGGAACGGGGGGCGATTCAAGTGGCTGTGGCTTGGAACCATGTTACACGGGCTCGTGGTGGAGGCCATCAGCTACAACCTCCCCGACATCGACAACTTCTGGCATGCCCAGGGCACAATCATGTTCTTGGGGGGTAGACTTCCCCTCTATATTGTAGTCATATGTAAGTAACTGTCTTTAGGATCAATTACTTAAAATATATATTAATCAAATGTTTTGATTCTAAAAGTGATAAATGAGTCAGTGTTCACATGTTCAGTCTTTCAGAGTTATCTTCTCTTGTGAGCAGGTATTGATTGTTACGTCATTGGTTTGTGTGAGAAAATTACGTTGTTTTCTCAAAAATTGATGACGTTACTCTCACAAACAAATGACATAACAATCAATACCTGCTCACAAGAGAAGACAACTATGAAACACGCAAAGACGGAATAGTCCATGTACTGTCAGATTTAATTAACAACCAGACCTCAAATTTGAGATTATTTTTTAAAAAGGTTGGAACTTGAAAACCAGTTTCAGTTTAATACGTTCTCAAACAAACAAGCAATTAAGTTCAATTTAGGTTCAGAAATATTTTCTTCCAACAAAATACTAGCAGTAAGAAAAATAGCAAACAGGAAAGCAAGGTGAATAAATAAGGTCTGAAAAAAAAATGTCAAAACTTTAGTAAGGCAATTATATATACGTTTTGCAATTTGCATTATATAATATGCTGCTTAAAACACCATCATGATTACTGTATATGAAATTTGGATAACTTTAAAAAAACAACACCCAGAAATACCATTAAAGTGCAAAACTTTGTATAATGTGTTCACAATATTTCAGATCCAGTGTTTTTGTACACTGCATCAGTAGCTGTGGCACATTGGAGGCTGAAGTGGTGGGCAGAACCTTTTGCTGGTAATTAACCTATCTTTCCAAAGCCCACCATCAGTTATAACATCAAGCAGTGGAAAATAAGAAACCATGTCTTTAAAAGATGGAAAAACAAAAGAAGCAGTTATGATGATTAAAGACTGACGCCATTAAACACTAACATAATTTTTAGTACAGTTTGGAAATATTAGGTGTATTGTAGAGATCTATCATTATAATGAATTTAGAGATTTTTAGCTCACCTGGTCCAAAGGACCATGGTGAGCTTTTGCCATACTGCAGCGTCCGCCGTCCGTCCGTCAACTTTTCCTTTAAAATGCTACTAGTCATGAACGACTGAGCAGATTTTGACCAAATTTGGTCAGAAGCATCCTTGTGGGAAGGGGAACAAATTTTGTATAAATGATGGGTGTGGCCCCCCATGGGGCTGAGGGGCAGGGCCCAATAGGGGAAATATAGCAAATTCTTTAAAATCCTTCTTCTTGACAGTGGTCAATATATGTTTAAATCTTTAAATGATTTGTTTTGTATAACCAAAAGGTCCAGGGTAATGATATTTTTCCAGAAGCATGCTGGGTTGGAAGACTATAAACTCTGTTCAACCTAATATTATAATGTCCTTGTTCGACATTCAAGGTCACAGGTGTCATATGTTTAAATCTTTTAATAGGTTCTTATGAATGAAACACTGATAGGTGAGCGATGCAGGCCCATTGGGCCTCTTGTTTTAAACATATTCAGGTGAGCGATAAAGGCCCTCTGGGCCTCTTGTTTTAAACATATTCAGGTGAGCGATAAAGGCCCCCTGGTTCAATAACTGATTGTGGGGGAAGGTTTGTTTGGTTAGGGTTTAACTTCCACACAAAAACTAGGGTCAAATGAAAAGGGGTGCCTAGAGTGATGCCACTGAAAATAGAGTGTAGAGAAGTTTGAAAAAGAAAAGATAAGCCCCCAATTCTGCAGAAGGCTCGCATTAGGTGCCTCTAACAACATGTAAGCAAGCCTGCTCTTTCCCCAAACCTGCATGGGGCGGAGAGGAAGAGGCTTTTCTTATCAAATACATAATGAGATGAGAGTTTATACAGAAGGTAGGATATGTAAATTAAATGAGAATTAACATCTTCCTTTCTTTTGAATTCTTTAATCTAAAGGATGACTACTACCTGCAACGTACAAACATAATATAATGATTAGTTATAAATTATGGGGGTAATTAGGTAAATTAGAAATGTAAGGATTCTTCAATCTGTTCCCTATATTATTTAACCTTAAGAAAAACATTTCAGTTGGCCTGACTGTGGTTGTCGTAGACCTTCCATATGACATTTGTGCGGTCAAGCACCTGGCTTGGACATGGCATGACACTGACCCCAACATCTACGACCGTATGTACTGGGCACCCTGGACCAGCTACTACTTCCACGCATCCTTTGCCTGTGGATTCACTTTTGCATTCCACGGCTTCCACAAACTGTTTGGTGGAAACACCAACAGATTCCAGAGTAAAGGGTAAGTAGATATTGTAATCTAGAAGACATGGTCTGCCTATCCCCGCTGGTGAAATTATAGTCTTAGGTTAAAGTTTGTCTTCAATGTGTATCCACAATGTAAGTTTGTCTTCAATGTGTATCCACAATGTAAGTTTGGAATAGCTGGAGATCCGTTGGGAAAACTTCCACATATTGAAGTTTCCCTGCTAGCCGATATGCTGTGTATACCAAAGACCTTGAACCTTGAGGTCGGATAACAGAGGCATTATTTTGAAAATGTTTAGAAAAAGCGTTTTTTTCAAAGACCTTTTCATAAAGGATCTGGGCCCGTATCCATGAAACTGTTCTAAGTATTAATTCTGTGCTCAAGCCGACTTTCTTGCAATTCGCTTAAATCATGTAACAAGGTCAAAAAGTAAAGTGTAAACATTGAAGGCAGTATATTGGGCTTCAAGTCCCTCCAAATCATTGACAGAATATGATGTTTTTATTAATTTATCACTGGCACAGGATTTTTTTTTTCAAAATTCACTCCTTTTTACATAAATTTCCATTTAAAATCCTTAAAATTGTGACAGCCTATATATTTTTTGTGGCAGAAAATTTTCTTTACTTCAAAGCAATATAACTACAAAATTTAATGAAATTCTACAGAGAAATGGTGACACAATCCTATTACCTTAATGCAGGGTTTAGAATAACTAATATTTGTATGCTATTTTTTTTAGATTTTTTAAAGAGGTTCCCAACACCATGTTTGCTGCTATGTTGGGTTTCCCCCTGGGGACCCTCCAGTTCCTGCCTAACTACCACATCCTCCATGACAACTACAACATCCACACCGAGGTCTGCTTCCTCATGTTTGCCGCTGTGTATGTGATGATCATGTGGAAGGGGGACCGATCAGCGTGTCTGGAGAGGTCGCAGAGTGCAGAGAAACTGAGGAAAAGTAAATCCGTTTTTATCAAACACCACCTGGTATTTCTCCAGAATCTTTCAAATTATATTATAATGGGGCCGCAGTGGTTAAGGCGTCTTGACAATCTGCTACCACTAGCCCTCCTCCACTGGGTCGCGGGTTCGAGGCCTACGTGGGGCAGGCGCCAGGTACTGGCCATAGGTCGGTGCTTTTTCTCCAGAAACTCCGGCTTTCCTCCACCACCGAAACTTGGTACATCCTTCAATAACCATAGCTGTTAATAGGACGTAAAACACAAACAAACCAAATTAAAAATCAAATTATATTCCGACTTTAGGGTTAATCCAGTAAAAAAACCAAAAAAAACGTCAGGATAAATTAGTTCTCTCCTTGGTTGGATTTCCTGTCTCTTATTTCTATAAAAATTATGAATTAAACTCTGTGAGTTTTCAGTCACTTCGTCTATTACTGGAACATCAGTGTCTGGCTTGATTGGCCTTAAGCTTGTGTGTATCTGGCAAAACCTTTCAAGAATAGTAGGTAGTCAAATGTTAGATAGTGCATGTTAATTTGGGGTCAGATCCTCAGAGATCAAAGGTCAAGCTCTCTTTTCAAGTTACTGTACACTACACTTATCACCATGGCTTCTATTGGAGTTTTGTTGTTTGCTGGTTGCCCTGTAATCTTCTATTAAATCTGTTCCTTAGATTATAAATTTACCTCAAACATAACTACAGAAAAAGCTGTTTTGAATATATATTTTGTACGATCATTTCTCTATCCTTACAGCTAGTTGGTACAGTGAGATCACACTGCTGGCTGTTGTTTACTACACGTTCTTCATGTATCTGGTCGTAACTGGCAAACCTGAGGAGCAGGTCTCCATTGGTCTACATGAGGTCATCGGACCCTGTAACGAGACTGTTGAGATGACCGCTGCTTCTGGACAGGTGAGTCGTCAAAAGATGTTTTCTTTTGTGGTCAGAAGAGAGTTATTATGCAATGCCAAACTACATATGTAGCTGTTGATTTATGGAATAATCATGTCATAGTGGTTGTCGTGGTCAAAGGGTGGAATAATCATGTCATAGTGGTTGTCGTGGTCAAAGGGGAAGTAACTCTGTGGATTGTAATCACGGTCAGTAAAATGTCTTGCCAAGGAAGTAACTGTCACTGAAATTTCTTTTTGATTGCTTTATTTTTAGGTACAACAGAGAATACTTCTAAATAAACATCTCTCAAGTGGAGTTTTTTTTGCAATTATAACTTGATTTTACAGAGGTTACCCTTTAAGGTAATTTTATGGCGAGGGAAACGAAAATGATATTGTTGAAAAAATTACGTCAAAATCAATATTGATTCAGCTACTGCAAGTAACTCTTCAATTTCCTTTAGATGTAAGAAAAATTAATTATCTTTCTATTTTTCATATTATCCAAAGCTCTATGTGTAGCGCAAGATTTATAAACCAGTTGTCTCCCTTGTTTTAGATCCTCACAAAGAAAAAGTACCTATGTCTCAAAGATTATGACGAAGACTACTTTGACTTTCACTGCATCAAGGGCAAACCACCTGTGGGGAAAGAGTGGTACACCACATGTGGCACCCCCTACAGGAACCACATGGAGTATATCGTAGTTGTCGGCTTCTGCTGTCTCTTCGGGCTTCACTGGATATTCTCATTGGTCGGCAGTGGTGGGCTGCCAAGGGCAGTACAAAGTCCCGGCAAAGAAGCTAAGGCTAAACAAAACTAGTCGAGGATAAGGCAATTTATAATGGAGTAATAGTGCTAAAGTGTTATAAAACCAGTGAGAATGCTGTACAATAAAACCTTGCTATATTGGCCCTTGTTTTTTGCCATCTCCTTTAGTGCCATTGCATTTCAAGGTGTCATTTATCTTTTTGAATAATTTCATTGTCCAAGCCTCGTTATGATGCCAAAGTCCTTTTATAATGTCAAATTTGACTGGATAAATGCTGGCAGTATAACGATGCCTTATTGTACGATAAAATTTGCTTAGTGCCAACATATTCAAAGACTTTTATCCCTAGTCTCTTCCTTGATAAATTGCCAAGTCCCTTTATAATGCCATACTTCTTTATAATGCCACAATCATACTTCTTTATAATGCCAAAATCTTGCTGGACATATATGCTGGCAGTATAACAGGATGTTAATGTACAGCCTTAACATGTATCATTATTTTGTAGATCAAAATACAATATTTTCCTAAAATCAAAAATAGTTTTTTAGGGCTTATGTGATTGTTAGTGAAAGAACAAAACATTCATTTGTTGCCTCCTCTGCATTTTTAAAACTCATTCACCCCTGAAATTTTATGATGAACTGTTCCAACCTATGAGCGGGAAGAGTTCAAAGGTGTCTTCAGGGGTGAATGAGTTAACATACGGCCGAGAGCTTTGTAATAAAAATGAAAATGTAAGAATGAGGTGTCACCTTGTACAGAAAAATTTATTTAAATACTTACTTCTCTCTTTAATGCTATTGCTGCTTGCTAACAAATGTAAAAAGTTTTGACATTATCAGGGGCGTTCAATATTATATTCAGATTATATAATTATAATCTACTTGCCCCTAGAATCAGGCTTTTGTAGTTGTTCACCCCGACTGACAAGACGAGGAAACACAATGCAAATAGTTTGTGTATAAATATTTGCAAATTTGATGCAAAAATTACCGAAGTATTATTTAATAGTATTTCCTGCAATGACAAGTATATATGTAGATAGATTTACAGAAAAAATAGGTATTAAAGATGCCTGAAAACTATTTAGCAGAAGTCCAAATACCTAGTCTTAAAAAGACATGGACATGATTGTAAGAAACCATTTGTAGAAATTGAGTACAAATTTGAATGAATTAATGATTAACTCATTCACCCCCTGAAATTTCATAATGAACTATTTCAACCTTTGAATTGCCAGACTTCAAATGTGTCCTCGGGGGTTAAAAAGATAACGATTGATTGACATGTCTCCTAGTATTTATTTAACCCTGTTAATCTAAGTACACAGGGAATATCATATTGATGTGGTATACATGTTGTGTATGTGTTGTTTTAAGGATTGTTTAGGGTGCCAAAGAGTTTTGTATGAATCGCTGAAATGCCAACAAGTGTACTGTAAAAAAATGTAGGGAAATTTTCGCCGCAGTTTAACATCCGCCCTTTTTATACGTCCGTCGAAGACAGGGACGTATTATGTTATCACGTGAGCGGGCGGGCGGGTGGGTGGGCGAACGATGTCCGCTCGATATCTCGAGTAATTATTAACGGATTAACTTCAAACTTCACAACAAGGTGAATTACCATGAAACCTCAGAAAAGTTTGATAACGGCCATTATCTGACCATAATTTGTGGAGTTATGCCCCTTTATGGACTTGCCGAAACAGTGTCCGCTCGATATCTCGAGTAATTATTAACGGATTAACTTCAAACTTCACAACAAGGTTAATTACCATGAAACCTCGGACAAGTTCATTAACCGCCATTATCCGACCATAATTTCTGGAGTTATGCCCCTTTATGGACTTTCCGAAACAGTCTCCGCTCGATATCTCGAGTAATTATTAACAGATTAACTTCAAACTTCACAACAAGGTTATTTACCATAAAACCTCGGACAAGTTCGATAACCGCTATTGTCCGACCATAATTTGTGGAGTTATGCCCCTTTATGGACTTGCCGAAACAGTGTCCGCTCGCTATCTCGAGTAATTATTAACGGATTAACTTCAAACTTCACAACAAGGTTATTTACCATAAAACCTCGGACAAGTTCGATAACCGCTATTGTCCGACCATAATTTGTGGAGTTATTTCCCTTGATTTCATTAATGCGATGCATGCGTTCCATGATGTTGTATTGCCCTCATTGATCTACCAGTTATGTTGAATGATTTCTCTTTTAATATCAATTACTCACAAATACTTCATATATTTCAATCATACAAACAACTGCTCATTCAATGTGTGACGGGCGTATTATATACAGCTCGCGGTAACCTTGTTGCCCTCTGTAATAATGGCAAATTTTTCATGACAGCGTATATTAACATGCAGCCCACCATATTTTGTAATCACTTGTGAGGACAAAATTCTCACTGGATGATTTATGATTTTTAATTGGTGAAGGGCGAAATTTTGACTGGGCGAAAGTTACTAGCTTTAGTAAACAGTATTATACAATGTATAAACATAGTGCCATCTAGTATTAATGCTCAAAATTACATATATTTTGTGTATTTATAATATAGAGTTATAGATTTATATTTTATTTCTGCTGTTAGTCCCTATCTTATCACTACCAAAGGAAATTTCTTTCATAGGGCTGTTAATGCAGCAAGATCATTGTCATGTTGATGCTTCTCATCCGATCCCACCTTAAATAACACAAGAACATCACCAGAAGCAAACGTTCAGATGATGTGAGGCTGTTCCAGGAATACCTGAAGTATTAGATGATACTTATTCATCTCGGTCAATATCACATGTTCAGTTCCGTATCACAACTTCAATGGTAGCTGTAGATCTATTTTGATGACAAGTAAACAGTTCAGTTTTGCCAGATAACACTTTATTGAAAGTTAATGCATTTGGTGATATATAAACACTGTTTGTATATTGCAACACCATCATCAGTCTTATTCAGGTCCAATTATTCAATTGAATTTTATTTATGTAGAGTAAAATTAATCACTATTGTTGGTCTGGTAGGAAGTGCATAGGCTTAGGGGGGGTCTTATTGTGGGAGGAAACTGGAGTACCCCGAGAAAACCCATGTTGGGTAGGTGACCTCATACCTTTTCACCTCTGTTCAGTGAATAAAACCCAGTGGTGTTGGTGAAAAGCTAGTGCGCTATCCACTGTGCCAGCCATTCACTCTTTCCTTCTCTGCATTAATCTCTTCAATGCACTACAGTGTAGGATCCGATGGTATTACATCAGGGGTCATGTTCTGGTGACCTTTTGCGGCCATAGCCTTAATGCGGGGGCAGGTGGGCGGGAGCAGTTGACTGATAGTTTGAAATATCTTGCTCAACATTTCTGGCCCTGTCATGTTTAAAATTCTACAGACCCCACACATTAGTGTGGCACTGATTAGCTAGCTTTGTATAGGTCAGCTGATGAACATGACCCCTGATGGAGTGTCGGATCGGATCCTGCACCATAGATTTGATTTGAATCCGACTATATGCGTAAGGGTTTGGCCAAAATAAGTATTATTAATTCATAAACTTTGTGTATTTTTACAACAATGTTGAAACAACTTTTTTCAGCTTATATTAATAACTCTTGACTTGTCATGCATGTATTTGATAAATACATTTTGTGTGAATATTTATAGAAAGGAAGGCATATGATACAAATGTTTAGATAAATATGGATTTGTTTTCATATGTATACATTTGTATGCAGCTTGCTGCATCATGTTAAATGCTTTGTCTCTGTGTTTTTTTTTTAGACATTTTTGACGTCATAAATGAATAGTCTGAAGATGAAATAATGCTTATATATTTATTCGTTGTTATGTACGGTACATTTGTTTATCGATTCTAACTTATAGCAAGTTTATTATGTGGCTACATGCTATGGTATGTTTAAGTTCTGGTATAAATTTGATGACTGTATATATTCTGCAATAAGCTCAAGGGACCAAAACATATGATCTCTGACTGTCAGTAGGGGGAGGGGTTATTGTGCTTTAAATTTATTATCAACAGTAACATCCCATCGACCCCCTTCACTCCTCTTTCTTGAAAAACAATTCAGGACAAATGTTGAAAAAATAAATACTCCTTTTTGCATCGCCTTCCCTGTTGAATTGGCAAAATATCAATTTTGAAATGATAAAGTAGTAAATGTAAATTGATTTTGGGAGTGGCATATGCAGATCGGCTCCCCTATGCCAAAACCAATTTCACCCCCACTGTATCCACTTTTTGTGTAGAATGGCAATTAATTTCCAAGAATATATACACTTTTTGGGTATAGCCTATTGCATCCTCGATATCCAGGGGTTACGCTCACTTTCGCTCTCTACACCCCTGGAATATGTCATAGCAAAATTGAAGGCTCGGTGTGCGTCACCTTATTGATGAAACAAGAAGACTACTTCGATCCTTTGATGTACATCAAAAGAATCTTGCGGCCACATAACGGTAAAAGTTTGACAGGCCTTGAAGTCTGGCGTGTCTCCTTTGTAATCTTCAAAGGACATGTATCAGCCTAGCGATTGGTCAGGTGTTTTTTTTACCCGAGACCAATCAAACAGCTATCTTCGTGCCTTAAATTTTGCTATGACATATTCCAGGGGTGTAGAGGGCGACAGTGAGCGTTACTCCTGGAGTATCGAGGATGAAGTGAGCGTAACCCGTGGATATCGAGGATGAGCCTATTGCAAAATATGAACATATAATGTATAAAGCATCATTTTCTGGAGTGTGCGCTACTAATAACTACCAGGTTGGACATGCATCTTTATATAATTTAATAATTTATCACTAAAATCTTCTGTTTGTTTTTTCTGGCACTTGTGAATTGCAGTGGTGTTCAACTGTAAAACATTCCATGCATCAATAAACTGTAAAACACTCAACATAGACTTCCTTCTTCGTTACTTCAAACTATTAAGGTAAAAGCTTCTCTTAGCTGTGATTGCATAATGTTTTGAGAATGGTTATATTTTTAGCCCACCGATGTTTCAGATGGTGGGCTGTTCAACTCGCCCTTCATCTGTGGTCTGATCATCCATCCATCATGCCCTCCATCGTCTGCCGGTCTTTGAACGATTCTTGTAAGCACTTTTTCTTAGAAATTGATAGTAGGTTCCGATGATCTGTAGTTATGCATATTTAATTTTTGGAATGATTGGAAAACCAAGACGGCCGAAACACATTTGACCTGTGACCTTGAATGAAGGTCAAGTAAATTTATTTCTACATTTTGATAGGCCACCATCCCAGCTGCCT